CTTGAAACCTTCCACCCTCAGGAACAAAACCAAGTCAAACTTTTGTAGTAGTTTTCACATGTTCTGATAGGTTTCCGCTGCCCTCGCATTTTCCTTCCCTTCAGCTGCTTCAGGTTTTTTTTGCTAGATCTCCAGCCAGATTTGGCAGGCCTAAGGGGAATAATTGCTATCCATCAACTCAGATCTGTCCTTCATCTTAGATTATCTGTGCTCTGTTACTCAAAACAAGGAGTACTCCCTGAAGAAAAGGAAGTCAGGTCAAAAGGAGGCACATTGTGTAGCACAGTTTGTCCCACCTATGAAAATAAATATTTTTAGCTGCTCTGGTACTGATTTGAGGAGGTGGTCTGTGACCTGTGTCTGCCAGAGCAGCATGTGGCTTTTGAGTCTTCCCACCACCTTTCAAGTTGCCCTGAACCATAGAAGATTGAAAAAGTTCAAAGGAAGGCCTCCAGAGAGAGCGTCAAGTGTGGTGTTCCTACTGCACTGTGACCTGTTCAGGATTGTTGCTTGTAGGTAGTGGAGTCTTGAGAAACAGAATCACATCACATCACTTCTAGGTGTGGAAGGATTTGCAGTATTCTTCCATTTGTTTGCTACAAGATGGTCTTAAAAGGCGAGATAGGCCAGTATTTGTTAAGCCTTCCTGTATTCTGCTCTCCAGTATGTTTTGCAACCATGCATTGGATATGAGATTTCTGTGCACAGCAGGTAACGTTCACCTCTGTATTTATAACTGAAGAATTTTAGGGAGTTCTGTGGTACACAGTAAGTTACTTCAGCCCTCAACCTAATACAGAAGTCATTTGCCGGACTACAGAGGAACTCGTTGCCCCAACTTTGCTGGCAGCAACACACAGACCGTCCAAGAAGAACTGGCTCTTTGCGTCTGTCCTACTTCGCACAGTGGGTGAGCGTAGCCGGGAGGCCATCCCGGCTTCTGCGGGACTGCACATCAGACGGGGGTAGCTGGAGAACGTACATTCCCACTGTATCTCTGGAGCCCTTTTCTGCTGCTTTGGAGAAGGAGAGCAGGGTGATTGCTTTATGCCTGTCTGGAGAAAAAACCTAGCCTAGTTTTTAGGATTTGAGTTTGTAGCGGCCGCAGTTCCCTGCTATCCCTGCCAGAGATTTTCTCTGTGAATTTGATGAATTCTTCAGTTTTTCTATGCCTCTCTGCCCCTCCATGAAATGGGGTAACAGCGTGTGTGTGCCGGGCAGGCAGAGTACAGAAGGAGGTACAAATGCTTGGATTTGCTGTCGGCAAGGGTGGATAAAAGAGAGTGTCTAGCAGAGATTTTGGGGGTGTGCTTTTCTCTCTTTTTGATCCTACAGAAATTTCACAGGGTACTAACACGAAATGACACTTCTTTTTTTTCTTTAGACAATGATAATCGTAGGAAGAAAAGAGGATTATATTTCTCTCATTTCTTAGCTACTTAATAAGGATATATATTCCCTTCTAGAACCAGTGAGTTGCCTCGGAGCAAAAATCATCTTTCATTCTACTATTGTTTTAAAATCCAACAATGTTAATTTGTTAATTTGTTGCTGTGCCACCCAGGCAATGCAGAGGAAGTCAAGGAAGAGACCGCTTGGAAACCATTTGGAAAGGATTAGTTTCATGGGGATATTTTTAGCCTTTGGATATATGTTAAGGGCAAACTTAGTACTCTGTTATTCTTCTGGGTCTTGCATGAACTGTGATTCTAAGCATTGCTAAATGTATTACTTTACCATTGTTTTCAAAACTGTCATGGGCTTGTTGCAGCAAACATTGACCAACTTTATTTCTTCAGAATAAAACCTTAAATGAACCGTTGGTGAAAATATTTGAATCACACTGTCCTAGAAGTCCACTGCATATTTGAAGAAATTGTTTCCTCCTCTTTTTTCTCTCTTTTTTTTTTTTCCCCCCTTTGTGCAGATGCTGATAGCATTGAGTTAGAATTAATGTAAGGGCATTCTTCCATACTAATTGCATTATGAATGAATATTTGCTATTTGTCAAATACTGGCATGGAAAAACACAAAGGAAGGTTAGTAGGGTAGCTTTTTCTACTCATCATAGCTGATCCATATTTTATGTGCGAGTTAAATTCTTTGGCATTTTACTTATTTCGTACAACAAAGTATTTCATTTATTTAGTACTATACAGTGTAGAATTAACTCTGTTCTAGACTATTCCAAACTAGACTGTTTTGTTGAAGTTTTGTAAGAGATTTTGTTTTGTTGTGCCTGATAAAGGAAGTCTTGGATAGCTGGTACCATGCCTGGTTTATGTTTAAACTCAAAAGACAATATAGATGCTTGAGAAACTAATGATGTGTTGTATAGGTCATATAATAGAAATTATTTCAATTTTCAAATTGGTTTACTTAATTAATTGTATTGCAGCTTTTTTCAGCAGCATTTGAGTGTTAGTCAAGAGCTAAAAAAAAGGTTCAATTTACTTCTGGGTTTTGCATAACGTTAGTTCTACGTAATTTTGGGGTTTTTCAAATCATGCTCATTTAATCACTGAAATAATGTTGCACATCAGCAAGCTCTAATAAAAATGCTTATATGTGTTTAATGACCATGTTTTTGAAGTTACTGCTTTTATGAGGTCTGTAGCTCATTTTTAGCTTCCCCTTAGGGGATTAATAATTAATGAAAATTGAAGTCTTGTATATGCAAATGGCACATTATAGAGACATTTTACTTGCCATTAAGTCCAATCATTTGAAGGTTATTGCCATTTTATCTGATAGTCCAAAAATATTTACGATGTTCTACGGTCACTTTAAGCTATTGTGGGCAAGGATAGAGAAATATTTATTGTGGTTGTTCACATTTTTTTTAAATTGCATTTTGAAGTGGTATGTGACATCAGCATTCAGTAAAATCTCAGCTCATTTGCTGAGGTTGTGGCCATTGTAGCTGGTGCTCAGCTGTAGTCGTTGCACTTGGGCTCTGGACCAGTTGGGAGCCAGAGACGGGAGGAGAGGATGATCTAAAGTCTGAAGAACGTGACTTATGAAGGAAAAGTAGCAAAAATAATCTCTCGTCGTGCATGTGAACAGAGTGTGAAGTAACAGATGAAATAGAAGCAAGGGAGGTTTTGTGTAAGGGAAAAAAGAACTAAGAGTGCATTGCAAGACATAGTGGAGAAGGTCTGGAGAGTGGGAAAGAACTAAATGATTTGGTTGATTCTAGCCTTATTTTCTGTAATTCAGTAGGTTAGAGATGTCTCTGTTGTAAATGTCCCTTTCAGTGTAACTTTCATGAGATTTGCTGCCAGGACGTTTGCCAGGGATCCCGCATTTACATGGCAGAGAACAAGGTAGAGCACATGTTGTGGAGTAGTGCTCCTACTTCCAATGGGTAACTTTTGAGAGGAGGTGCCCTTAGGCTGCTTTGTTCTGTTGAAGCTGGTAATGTCTGGTGAGGAGGTCCCCGGCACTCGGGTCTAACTAAGTAACGTAAAGTAGCCGGAAGAGAAACAGGATCTAGGTGGAGAGCTTGATTCCTCAGATAGATTGAACATCTGTTTGCCTCCTGGTTTTGTGCCTGGTTGTACCGCAGAGGTACGTGGGTGTTCATAACTGTGGGAACAGGCAGTGTTGATACCTTATGGTAGGGAGAAGCTCCTGTCGTGCTGTCGTGCTTGTGATCCTGCTCGACATGCTGAAGTCCAGTTCTTTTGTGTACTTTATTTTTGCTAGTTTATATCTTCATCCATTTCTGTGCCATGTAGATAAGTCTGAAAAAGACAACTAAAAGCAATGACAAAGTTTGAAATCACAATGTAAAAGAAAAATTCAAATAAATAAACCCCCTTTGTTTCTCTCCCATTTTGTTTCTTCTTCTTGGTAAGAAAGGTATGAATATAATAAATGTATAATAAATAAATATTTGACTGAGAAGTAACAAATGTTCTTCTTTTTACCTGAAAATTCATTTTGAAGAAGTAAAAAATTTAGTAATTTTTATTAGATAATTTGTACCTGTTCAAATAATTCACATATCTCTGCAGTATTTGAGTTGTAATATTATAATAGTTTTTTATTATTTTCTTCAAGAGTTGAAAAACTTGGGGTTTAGAGAACATTGTAAGAAATATCCTTCCAGAAATCTGTTGACAGTCTAAAAGCATCTTTTATGTAAGCTAGTAAAATAGTAATTCAACCTAATAACTAGGAGAACAGTGGCATTTTGCTAACTTTTAAAAATCTTAAATGAATGAGAGAATATAATAAGATTTAAAAATACAGGGTTATGACATTAATGTGTGCTTTGTTCATTTATTTGACAAGTGGTTTTGTTCTAATTATGTAAGTTCCAAATATAACAGTGAAAGCATTAGTGAAATTAGATTTCATTACAGTTCCCAGCTATTGAGTAGTTAAAATGAAGAAAACCTACTTTCTTTGGTTCCAGATATGGCACTGCATAGTGTGAATGGATGAGGAGTTCGGTGACAATTCCGTGACAGTTCTTAAAACAATATTATCATTTCAGTTTGAGTAAATTTTTTTTTTTTTCTGGCTTGTTTACCAGAAAATCATTACACTTAAGTGGCTGTCTAGTGTCTTTATAGTATTTATCTCTCTTTCTTATTTAATTATGTTTGTTGAAGTTTTTAGGTAATTTCTCGGTGGACACTTACTATTGTCTCAGATATGCTTTGTTCCGTGTGGCTTTGAGCATTGGTGAGGATATTGGTTCTTTCAGTAGAAAGTTGTCATTTGCTGACATTATTACTGACAAAATTAATTTTGAATAATTTTTTGAAGCAACAGTGAGAGCCGTTTCCCTCAGAGAACAGGTTAGCATGCGGTGTGTACAGTGGTGTTGCCAGTACACCTAAACCATCATGAAACTCCCCTATTCTGATAGTCAAGAGAGCATGGGAGCCGTTCGGTTTCACAGCAAAGAGAAGGAGGTTGAATACTGGCACCTGAAACATTAAAGCATCTTTTCTCCCTGTAATCTAACTCTTGCTATGTTTGTTCAGCTAGGATTGTGTGTTAGCAGAGCTTCAGCATCTGTCCTCAATCTCAACTGCTGCCTGGTCCTTCTGCCGATGTGCCGTGTTCTCTTGGCCTTCCTGCGAGGATCTCAGAAGGTAAGTACTGTTCTCAGAGTGCAGCAGTTGAGAAGAGGAGGGCTCTGGTCTCTGTTTAGTCTAGAAATAGCAGGAAAAAATCTGTTCTATCCCTGTTTATTACATGGAGTGTGCCTGCATGGAGCAAGTATCAGACATTCAGCCTGGATTCATGACTTCTTTGAAGGCAATGCCTTGACCAGCGTTGTCTGGTTTGGTTGGAGTTGTTGTGAGGAAGGTTTCTTCAATGCATTTTTGAAGGACGAGAAGGAGGAGTTGCTGTGGAACTGTAACCAGGCAAATTTTCCTCTTTCTTTCCTAACTCTAATATAAAAGGTATCTCTGTCCTCTCTACTGCTTCATGGTAGAGTTCAACAGAACAAAAAGAACTTTGTCTCTGCATAACCAGAATTGTCCGCCTGGAGATCATAGAACATTAAATAAGAAGACCCAACCTGATATATTCATTATCATGGGAGTAAACAAAAAGTCCTCGCAAAGCTAAGAGGGTTTGTTTTCTGTACTAGTATTCAGTAAACAATAGTTCAGCTTGTTTGTGATTTGCCAGTTGCTCTTACGGAAATATAAGTAATGCTTTTGAGGAACATCTGTGTTTTCTAGATAGTTGCAAATTGAACCTATGAGTTCTGTTCATCATGTGACAGTACATATAAAATTTAATGACTATAGATGCATATATGTATGCAAATATACCTTTTTCTCTGATCCTGCTTACTAAAAAGTCAGTGATGTCTATAACAATTAGTGCTGGAATTCGTAAATTTTAAGTCCAGAAGGGACGTTACCTTATGTGCTCTTGACATCTATGTAATTTCTGTAATTAAGACCAACTGTAATGTCTTCATTAAGACCTCAAAATTGGCTCATTGACATAGTTTTATAGTTTTTAAATTTAGGTACTGTGCTTGCAAGGGTATTAAAACTAGTAAAAGCTGAAGTTGCTATTGTATCACCTCAGTTGCTGTTAGTATTTTTTTTTTTTTGCTTTGTTTTAGAAAAGAGATTGCTTGAATTCTTCTCTTACTAGGTTGCCAGCAGGAAAACCAGAAGGCTGCTAGATAAAAGCAAAACTTTCCATGTGACATGTGGTGTTACAATATGCATCTTTTCAGGTGAGATCCTACTGCGCTGAGCAGCAGCTTGTTTGGGAAGCGCATTAAAGCAGTCCTTTGTGCTTTTTCTTGTACAGTACATTTGGGGGTAGTCTTGCTCTGTGCTTCTCTGCCTTAAGTAGTGAATGCTTTCTCGGATGTGTGTGGGGTTTGGTTTATTTTTCCTTTAAAAACATGAGCTTACATTCTAATTCCGAGCCTTTCCTTAAAATTCCAGTTTCTAAAAGGACCAGTATATGAGATCGGATCAAAATCTGCCGTTAGTGACCCTCTGTTGTGCCTAAGGAATTTGAGTGAAGCAGCAGGGTGCTGCAGGGTGCTACAGGCTTATCTGCGGAAGAGGGGGACAGAGGAGAACAGAGGAGACAAATACCCAGTTTGGTGAAGAAGAAATATTCTTGGGTGGACACCTTTGAATGTTGTCTCCCAGCTGAAGCATTGCAGTATGGAAATGATTGCTGTAGTGTTAAAAAATCTTAAAATACATACAGCTTTCTGCATGAATACCTGTAACCTGATTTACTTTCGAAAAAGAATTCCTTAGTCCCTGATGCATCTAGGGCAGGTGATGTGGTTATAGCTTGGCATCTGGGTAGCCACTTTTCTTTACTTCAGGGGAACATGTACCTCTTGTTTACAGATCTCAGCTTTCTTCTTTTTTAGTCTTGCATGTTGCTGCTCATCTGGTGAACGCTCTTAACTTCTCTGAGAACTACAGTGAAGACTTTCTGGCACTAAATGCAGCAAACTATCGTGGTGAGGTGAGCCAGCTGTCCTTTCATATTTTGCTTTTAAATACGTAATTTAAATATATGATTATTTGTATATTCAGTTCTGTTGTATAATCCATCCTATGATCTATACAGTGCTGCTGTTTTGTGCACTGAAAACTCACCATCATGTGGATTGCTGTGGATTTTAATTCTTTAACAAAGCATGTTTTAAGCTCTTTTCTTTTAAGCCAGTAGGATTCATTCCTATTGGATTATGAAGTGGAGAATGCTGTCACCAAGTCCTTTCACCTTTCCTGTTCTCTTCTGCTTCTCTCTATTCCTTGGGTGGGCCTGGTTTAGATACTTCCATTTGGGAAAATGCTTTCTGCATTTGCACCATTTGGAATCTAGTGCTATGTGACATATACTAGGGATTAGAGAATAGTGGGATTTGAGACTGATTTTGCATTTTTAAACTGCAGTGGGAACTGGAGTATATATGCTAAGAGTGGAATTATTTACCTGCATGAACTGGGCTGGAAGCTCATTTCTACTTACGAAATACGTGGTTTGCATGACTTCTCGGACTGTGGTGCAGATCTCTTGAAGGCATACCAGGGTCCTAGTCCCTCCTCCAGGTGGTTGTTTGTGCATTTGGCAATGGAGAGATATTTGCAGATTTTAGGAGTAAGACCAGAGTCCAAGGCTCTTTCTTCTTTGGGCTACAATCAAGTTTTCTCTTGTTTATATTCATTCTAGTCTCAAGTCTGCATTTCTTTTCTACCAGCTTCATTAGGAAAGATTTAGAATGACCCTATCCCAGCTGCATCCTTTCTTGGAAAAGGAGAGCTTGACTCAGCCCAGGCTCATAAGGACCAACAACCAAGGTCTTCCACTCCCTGGGTGAATGATCTAATCACCGAGCTATTCTATGGCAGACAGACATGCCAACACCAACTATTGTGCTGAGGTTCTGGATTGAACTCAAGTGTCTGCATGTGTTAGGAATGGTCTAATAGACTTAGTCTCATCAGGAACGTTAGCCGGAGCTTGCCTCAGGCAGGAACGTGCCAGGGTGTGCATGGCAGCCTGTACTAAGCAGCCTTAGGAATTTTGCAATAGGGAATTGAGATAATAACAAGTTTTTAGTAATTCTAAGATCAAAACCTCCCGGATTTTAGGTACTTTATTAGCTCCTGAAGCTTTGCGCTTGAATTCCACTTAAACCTGTTTTTTAACTGTGGTGGGCAGCCTAGATGCTACTGTCATCTTCTGTACGTGGGTGCGCACATCTGGATGCGGACAAGGTCAGGGAGAGGGTTGCTTCGTTTTTCCTGACCTGTATAAAAACTGCTCACCTCCCCTCACTGCATTTTACTGCAAGTTTAAAAACCTTTTTCTCCACAGTGAAGACAAAACCTCACAAGGCGTAGGATTCAGGGGAGTGAGGCAGTTTCCTGTGGGGTTGACATATCCCCTCTGACTTTCACATGTGGTGAAGGACACAGGAACATCTGGCTTTGTATTGTCAGCTCCTTTGTGTTCAGTCCTGCTTCACTGGAGTCCACTGCAAATCTCTTGGTGATGTAACTGGCAGTAAAATGCTCACCGCTGGCCTTTCATTTAAATTCAAAATCTCTCTCTCCCTTCTGTTTCCCTCTGTCCTCCCAAAGGTATGAGGTAACTGAGTAAAGTTAGGCTTTCAAAAAATAGTTATTGCTAAAATTATCAGGCTACTAGCTTTTTATAACAGATCAGAACTGTCTTCATTGGGGAAATGCAGAGGCTGAAAGTTAGTTTATGTTGAACTACCGTCAATGTAAACTACTACCAAATACCAAATCCATTCCTGCATCCAAATTTAGGGTTTGCTTATGCTATCGAGCATGTGAGCCTTATGAGCTACTTTTATTATTCATATGGATATAAAATCATATATGTTGTCTTTTTTTTTTTTTTTTTGCCTGTTTGTTTTTCAGGACCCAAGGAAACTGCTTTTTGCTACTGGTGAGTCTGTTGCAAAACTGAATGAGAAAGTTGGCTGCTTCTCATCATAGCTCTCCAGACGACACATTTGGATCCTGTGTTCGCATGCTGCATTTGTTGTATCTCAGCTAGGTTGCGATGTGGTATTTGTGTTAATGTAACCTGCGTTTGCTTATCCAATAGTTGGGGGGAGGAGTTACATAAGCCGTGTAGTAGGATGAGCAGCATCTTCAAAGCTGCTGTTGTACAGATGAGTCAGTGGAAAATCATCAGTTTCAAACAGAGATTCTGAATAGTATGAAAACCAAATTCCTAAATGATCCAATTTCTAGAAAAAGAAGCAACAAAAAAACGGTCTCCTTGCTTCAGCTGATCTATTTAAGAGCTGGTTTGACTTCAGAGCCATCTAAACTGTTACATGGGAATCATGTAACATTCAGCAATCATAAAGAATAAATAATCAAAGACATTTTTGGTGCAGGAATTTACAAGGGAGCAACGTTTGGGTATGGAAGGGTAGGCACAAGCCTGAGCTGTGGTGCTTCACAATCAGGTAAAGGTTATTTCTGAGGTCATCTCTCTTTCGCTCTTATTTAGATCAAATGCAAAAAAATCCCAGCTTGGTGGCATTTAGGGCAAGGTCCAAAGGAATCAGCCTGGACAGCAATAAATGGGGTTCTAGACTTGTCAATCCCAATACATTTACTAGAATTGTCAGCCTGTGGGAAAGGGCTTTCCAAAAACCCTGAGGAAGGTTTAGGTCAGTTGGGAGTAGAGGAAGTGAGAAGGTGGAATGGTAGAACCTGAGGTACCTGAGAAACTGGAAATAGGTTGGGTAACTGTTGTAGTTAGTGAATCGGTGGAGTCTTGAAAGAAGGTAACTCACAAAGGAGGGAGTTAAAGATGGGGATGGAGAATTGGAACAAACAGCTGGTATTATATTTAATATCTTAGATGCTAAGGAGAAAGACTTGGAATAAAGAATGAGTGTAGAGGCCCCATCTAATATTTTCACACCTTCTGGGGACACCTTGAGACCTCTCTACTTGTGCAGATGACCTGCAAGGTGGAACTCCTTTTACCCTCTGGCAGCCAGGAAAATGTGGCATTTTCAAAAGTTTGCGCCCATTGTTGCAAAAAGCAGCGATTCCAAGTCATCTTAAATTTGAAACTACTCAAATCACTCCCCATCCTAACAACTGGTAATTAACGTTTGTTATTTGTGCTGTGGGAGTACCCACACAGGGACTGTGATTTTGCTGCACTGAGAGCTGTACAAATATGCAGAAAAATGGTCTCTTCCCAGGACAGTTCAGAACTAGATTTATGGGCTGATTTTTTTTTTTTTTTTTAATACAGTGAAGAGAAGGAATAAGGAGTTGGAAGGATTTACAGTGTGATGGCTTTTCAGATCAGTCCAGGAAAGAACCTCCTTGCTTAAGGGTATGAGCTAGTGCTGAGAGGAGCAAACATTCAAGATTATAGTTAGTGGAGGAAAAGAGAGACAGGGAGGAGAGGAAACACTAAAAATGCACTGATGAATGGGGTAAGGTTGTGAGTGATTTCATGTTTGCAGTCTGATGGAGATGAGAATTGAAGAAATGGATGTAAAAGGTGACCTGTGGCTTGAGTGGCAATGTAGGAAACTGGATCAAGCGCTGTAGTACAGTTGGATTGGAACTATTTGCGTCAGAGGGGAGATTGATTACACGCTACATATCAAATTAGATTAAGAACAGAGAAATGAAGAAGGAGGCAATGGAAAGAATGCATGTTTTTTATTGCAACTGCTTTTAATTGTAACCTTTCCATGAAGGGGTGAAATTATGTTTCTTATGCAGTCCATGACAAAATGTCCATTGATTGTAGGACCAGGATTTTTCCTACAGTTTGTAAAACTAAGGATTGATTTGGGATGTATCAGATTTTGGGTATCAGACTTTTCAACAAGTGGATATTGAGAAGTTTATAGAGAAGTTTATAAGATTTGAAATTGCCTCTTTATTGCTAAAGCTATTAAAAAAATTAGCTTGTTCTTATCATTAGAACGTGATCCTGTAAAAGATCCTGGGCCATTAAAATCTGTGGTTTTGCCATTTACATCCGTGAAAGATGGTTGAGATGCTTACATTCTGACCCTAAAATAGCACTTACTTAGCTTTGTGTGTGGTGATTGGCCTGACTGACTTTGTTTAAACCCAAACCTGCGGCTTTTAGGGTGACCAGAGACTATCCTTAAAAATCATTCTTCAAGAAATACACGGTATCGATGTAATGCTTCATGGGTTTTAGGTCCTTAATTCCTGGAATGGCAATTTTGAACATCAGGTGCTCAGAAAAAGTGGTAACTTTGGGATTTTTCTAATCTTATCTTTAGGCTGATGGTTTACTGTACTTTATGAGCAGGATTCTACTTCAGGATTAGATGAATCATGCTGTGGAAATATTTGTTTCTCTCCTTTGACCTAAAGAGCCAAGGATAGACTAGTTCTGATACGAGTCTGCATTTGAGCAGATGAGTCCCATCCTTAATGTTTTTAACGTTTCCTTCTCAAATGCTGGCTGTAGATCATTCTCACAGACCTTGCTCTATGGGCGACAATTTCAAGCATGATACCATGCCATGGAGAGTAATTTCAGGCTCTTTCTCATTCCAGGACAAAGTGGGTTGGCAAACAATTGTAGTGACAGCTTGCATAGAAATTGATTTGCTTGAAATTCTGTCCCTGACTGGGTTTTTAATTGTTGTGTTCAACAGTGTTTGGGGTTTGGAATCCAGAAAGAGATGTAGAAACTTGTACAGTCAGTCTTACAAATAAACAATAGACAGGATTTGTTCTTGGTTCCCTGCTTAGAGAGAAATGTCGTGAGCAAAAGATTACAGGAGCAAAGACTAATAGGAAATTAGTGATGTATGGTGCAAGGGAAAGGGCAGTTTTCTCTGGGAAGGTGGGAAATAACACCACAGCTCTTCTTTCCTATCTGGTTTGATACATGAATTGTCTTCAAGAGATAAATACATGCAAGAGTTTGATTGAATCATGATTTGCATGTCTAATAATTTCCACTTTCTTAAAAGCTCATAGGAGACAAGTATACCTCTTCACAGTTCAAATGTAAGTTCTCTTCTGTCTGTTTTAGTTCCAGGTCTGACTGGAGTCGTTATGGTGTTAGTATTATTCCTAATGTGCACAGCTTCTACGTATGCCATCAGGTAAGACATAATCTGATCATTATGCTGAAAAATAAAATGCCATGTGAGTAATCATATTCTCATACTGGTTAGAGGGATGAAGAGTAAATGCAATAGGAGGCAAGAAGTATTTAAGTGAGTGTTAAAAATACCAATTTTCTTTCCTTTTTTTTTTTTCGCTAGCTTGCAGGTAAATTAGCACAGTGGATTTTGTATTCAAAAAAATTACAAAACCTGATTAAATTGCCTTCAGAGAAAAATACTGTTTGAGGAATGTGCTCAAAAATTCAAATAGTTCTTTTTTCCTGTTTGTACAGGGAGGTAGTAAACTAAGCATATAGAAGGTTCTGTCCAATGCATAAATTATGTCCACTCGAAGTAAAATAAGATTATATCTTCATCCTAATTATTTTCAACAATTTATTGTAACAACAAGCTAAAAAAACAGCAACTAAAAAACCCAGAAACAAAGCAAACCGGAACAGAATTGTGCTATTTAAGTAGAATGTTACTTTTTTTAAAGCTCTGCTTCTGGTTGTCAGATACATTCTTTTTAATGTCAGTTATGATTTTGAAACAGCAATGCAGTATTGGCTCAGAGTAGCTGCTTGGATTTCTAAAGGTTTGGTCCTCCAGTTGGTTCACATTCTACACCAACATTATTGAACACATATTATAGTACGTTTGAGTGACCAGTACCTTGGAGGATCTATCCCAACATTGTAGTCTTTTTAAGGCTCGGATTCTGCAATTGAAGTATATGAAACACCCCTTGATTTTTATAGCAGTCTCTGGTGAATTCAAAGATTGATTATGTAAGTGTATCATCTCAATTCAGCAAACACTGAAGGATATTTTAATTCTTTATCTTTGAACATTAATGGTGCTCAACTGACATGAGCTAGATATTTGGGTTTGAATTTTGTTGAACTAATCAGTCTTTCCTGAGTAGCAATGTTTTCAGGTGCTGATTGAAGCAAGTATTTCAGCAAATACTTGTGCACTTTTTGTAGACAAAGATACTTCCAGGGTTGAGACCTTTGTGAGGAACTGTAGACTACAGAAGGGCAGGATGACTGCTGGACAAGATGTCAGTCATGGCTGCACATTACATAGTCCACACAGATGGCTCTACTTGCAAAAGAAAGCCAGTTTTGGGAAGATGGGAAAATAAAACAATTACTTCACTTTGGAGCAGTGAGCCAGAAAAAAGTCCTGTTTTCTCCAAGGTTGTGGTAAAATAGAAAAAAAGAACAGCATTTATTAATGATTGGGAAACTTAGGAAAATATATGTAGTTGCAAACATATTCTTGGGAATAATAATTTTGGGGTTCATGCAACAAAGGTTTCCATATTTTGAAGTTACATACTTGTTATTTCCTTCTTCAGTTACTCTAAGTGCAAGTACTTTCCCATCCTTCTGCCATCTAACCAGCAGAATCAAAGCCCGTAAATGATCTGCATCTCCTTGAGGCATATGGCTCAAGCTTGTCTTTATAGTATGTTTTCCTAAGGAAACAAGCTTCCGTGTGCATCTCTCTGTCTGTGGATTCTCATGTGCCTTATGGTGGATAACCTCATGGTATAGTCTTAGGAAAATTAACAGTAAATGTTCACAGCCTATCAGAAATGGGCTTTTAAAAAAACATTTCAGAGACTATTATAGTCTTGGATTTCAGCCCTAATCCGCTCCTGCACACTGACCTGCTTAGTCATTTCTTCCTTCATATGTTCTTCCTGAAATTTTTCGATGCATGATTATCCTGCTATTTTTGTGCCTTTACTTGTTCATTAAACTGTGTGAATAAGTATTAGGAGGATTGAATTAGCTGTTAATGTTTTGAAGGGGGAAAGTGAATATTGTTTGAAAAATTCTCTAAATTTTTGCCACGTCATACCTGAGAATTAGACCCAACATTTTTTGTGCAATAGTTGTTTGTTGGAAGGCTTATGACATTATTAGAAAATACAATAAACCCTGTGAATAAATGTCGACATTTCTTCTAACTTTGAAATGAATGTTGTTCAAGAGTATTTCCATTAAACACAATTACTAGTGACTTTAGCAATCATATATTTAAAGGAACATTACAATACAGGTTGCTCCAATGCCATTTCTTTTTGTCTTCAGTTTCATCTTCTAAACTACTACATGTATCTTCCTTTTCAGAACTTGCTGTAACAGGGTTAACTTACTAGAGAAATGTAAGGGGAGATTGCCATGCTTTAAAGGTACACAGTAAGCAGCACAATTTTGGAAAAATTCAGTGCAATTCAGTGTGCAGCTTTTGGTACTGTGGCAAGATGCCAAATTAAACCAGAGCTGCAAGACCTGTTTTGGGTCTGGGGGTAAATGCTGTTCTCTTTGTGCCTTCTCGTTGTGCTTCCACTCCCCACACCATCATCCTTTACTTTCATCTTACCGATGTTCACTGCCACAATTCCTTGCAGATACCGGTGAGTGACTGCATGGAAATGCCTACCAGGGTGTGAGTAGTTAAAAATGGTTTGAGCAGGCTCAAGGAGGAAGAAGTGTTAGCGTGGTGCTGAATGGGGGAAGTATGGCAGGGTAAGGCGGGGTTTCAGAGCCCCTTGCTGTTCCTGGGTTCCTTAGAACTTCCTTTGCTTGGATTTTATTTTGGTGGCCCTCAGATTACCAAAATTATTTTTTCTGTCTTGAGGAAGAAAACAAGTCCTGTACCGACAGAAACAAATGCAGTGTTGTAGTGAGTTGACCCCGGCTGGATGCCAGGTGCCCACCAACGCCTCTCTGCCACGGCCCTCCTCAGCTGGACGGGGGAGAGAAAGTGTAACGAAAGGCTCCTGGGTCGAGATAAGGGCAGGGAGAGATCACTCAGCAGTGACTGTCACGGGCAAAACAGACTCGACTTGGGAAGAAAATAATTTAATTTATTGCCAAGCAAAATCAGAGTAGGAT